ATAGTGTACAGAATAAAATCGCAGGGACAGCATCAGCGAGTAATGAACAGTATAAACAGTTTCCAGTGGGAATTAGCCAGGGATTTAGAGCAAAAGTATCATGGGGTAGAGCGAGTGCTTTCTGTATTAGTACTATCTCTGTGCACACAGGGCTGTACTTGTTACAAATACCTGAATGAATCACCTACTGACTGTGAACGCAGGACATCTGAGCGCTAGCTCAAGTCCTGTGCTTACGGAAACACGGCCGAGGATTCAGCTTATCTCTTTGAAGCACAGAGCTTCTAAAACTCCATATTTCTAGACTATTTCTAGACAACAGAATACAAAAACTGGAAAAAGCCAAAGAGCTGCAATTGCAGCTGAGGAGTTCAGCTGCAATGAAAGAATTCAGTTTTGCTTAGGAGATGACTTTTATTTCAAAACCGCATCAGTCTCAGGACAGCCTCCAGAACAGAGGGCCCTGTTAAGGGCTACAGCATGCCCAGGCCTCAGCTCCTGGCAGTGCAGGTCCCAAGGACATGTTGGTGTAAAGCCAGCGCGGGTGTGACGGGACTGCTGAAGCTGTGCCTGAGCTTTGCACCTTCAGCAAATCTCAGTAATCCCTGGAGGCAGACAGATGTGACGCTGTCGGGGGGTGGGAGGGGTGGGGGGTGGAAATCCCCCAGCAGTTTTCCTACCTCCCAGTCTTCTTCCTATGGGCCACAGTTCCTTGCTATGAATTCGCATCCAAAGAGCTGCGATGCTCACCTAAAACTGTCAGTCCAGCGGGCCCAGAGACCGAGTACAACAGCATGCCATTAAGTAACTGGCTCCTTCTTTACTGAAACTACAATTAGAATAACTAAGATGGGAAATACAGCGTCTTTCAAGCTTCTGGTCGCTGAAAAAGACACAAAGATCACGCAGCTCTCATCTGTGCACTGTACTTGACCAAACTGCCTGGCAATCTGCCTGTAAAATTTTATTCGTTGGCAACAGTTAACACAAACTGCCTAAGCTGTATCAATTCATCTGGCATTTATGGTAACAGCAGCAACCATAATGAGGTTGTGCAGCATTAAAATTCTCTACGCCAGACAAGCAGACAAGCATAAATCACAAGCTATCCAAAGGAAACCCCCCAAAAGACAGAATCAGATAACCTGCACAGAGCGCTGTGATGGCACTTTGGTTCTGGGGGGGTACCTGTAGCTGACATCCCTCTGTACTCAACTAGCTAGAGTAGATGCAATACTGCCTTACAACAGATACTGTGCATTTTGCTTCCAATCAACACGAATCTTCACTGAAAGAGAAGTTAATGCACCAAGAACCTGACTGCTTTAGGAAAACAGCAGACAAGTACGTAGCTTTCTGCGCAGCAGAGGAAATAAATGTATTGCTTCCAGGAAAGTCGTCTTTACAGCGGAAATCAAGACTGCTAAGACGCTACGGGGCTTTTGGCTCAGCCCTGAGCTCCTCCAGCAACGCGGTGCTGTGCCCTTCCTGCAATCTGGATGTGTGTGCCTGTATGGCAGTACTGGTGGTACTTTTAAGGATTACTAGCAAATAAAGCTCAGCCTTAAGCTCTTCTGAGATCCTGGACAAGCCTCAAAGCTAGAAAGATGAATAATCCTGTCATGGGACGGGAGTCAAGTCTCCAATGACTCCAGGAGCCGCTACGGTAAGTCAGCAAGACGTTCATCAGCAACTTCTTTACCCGTCTCCTCTTTTGCCCTTAAAAATGACCCCTCTATAAAGAGACTCCTGCAACAAAGAAAAGCACCATAAAGACGGAGGGGGTCTAAAAATACAGGGCTTACAGCTGGGTGCAAGCTCCCGTCCCCCAGCTACCCTCTCTGAGGTTACCTGGGTCAGAAGACTTGGCACAGAGTCTGAAAAATTTGGCAAAGAGTAATACCAGATCTGTTTAAGTGCTAGATTGCTATACGATGCCAGAGGAAAATTCCCACCAGTAGGGAGTTCCTCAAAGAGGGACACAGAGCTGCTGCTGTCATCCAATTGAACTGCAAAGCTCCCACTGACTTCAGTGGTACGAGATCAGAGTTTCGCACCAAGACAGAAATTGTGCGCTGCAGTGAGGAGACATCGCATCAACAACGTGATGGAGCCTCTCCGCGTGGCAAAAATAAAGGGCTGGGCTCCCTTGCTGCAGCTCTGCTGACTTCAAGGCCATCGTGTGTACACAAGCAGCTGTGACAGCAGGGTTTAAAGGTGGGCAAAGGCTGTGAGAAAGTTGCTTGAATTTTCACACGACAATAATAATAAACTTGTGTGTTTGCTTTCCATGAATATCCCAGTGAGTGCGTTGGCTGCCCAAACAGCACATTTTAAATAACTCTTTCAGAACATTTACTCTAGGATTTCTGTTGGAATTAATTCCCTGAGCTCCAGCTGACTTCCCAGCTCAGCTGGCTCTGAAGACAGAGGGCAAACGGAGCTGCTGAAAAGGTAGGTATGTTTTCCTATTAAACCCTTCTCCTTTAAATCTGCCCTAGTGTTTCCATCGTAAATATGGGTGTGAAATGAAACTCGCAAACCTTAAGAGCCTGGCTCTGCTCTCTCAACGCTACGTTGGTGCAAATGGTAGAAGTCCACTGTGTAAAACTAAGTGTGCGAGCAGCTTCAAAGCTAACCTTTGCTGTTTCCTTTTCTCCAAAGTTGGCAGCAAAGCAAACAGAACCTCTCCCGAGAGAGCTAGGAGTAAAATTAACTTATTTCAAATCAGCATCAACACTAAAAATTAACTCTTGTGGCCACAAAGAGGAAGCTTATTGATTATCGCTAAATAATGCATTATTTCTCCTTCGAAGGGTGCGGAATACACAGTACGGCAAAGGATAAGGGAAAACGCTACATCCTTATTCTGCATCTCACTGTCTTCCAGTGACGCAGGAAAAAAGCTACGGGAATCCTGCTCGGCCGGTGGGACCACAACTCAGCCTTTTCCAAAGACTCTTCTTATCCCACTGGAATCCCAGCGTCAAAAAATACTGGTAACGGTCGTGATTCACTTGCACAGGACTCCTCACTCCACTGTGGCTTTCTCCCCACAAGAAAGGGGACTCAAAGTCAGAGGCACTCATGGATGCAAGTTCCAGGCCACTTTTGTTATCCAGATCATTTCATGAGCCAGGGGAAAAGGCACTGCGGTAGAGCTGGGAGAATGAGTGCTATTTCAGCTCAATTGCTAAACGTAAAGAAAAAAAAAAATTGGAGAAACAAGACTGTTTGCATGAACTGAAGATTTTAGGGAATTAAAGAAATTATATGCTTTGCATGGGGTCATCTCAAAAAGTGGTTTTTTTTTTTTTTCCCCCAAGCCATTCGCCTCTTTGAAAAAAATGCAAAGGGTCTGTTTTAAAAACAAAACTACAGATCTGCCAGTTCTATCTATGCAGGTTTTTTCTAGATTTCCTGTGGCCCCGGGAAAGCTGTTCTGTCTTCTAGACTAGCCAGGTGGTAGCGAGAAGATCAGCGTAAGCAAAACAGTTTCAGTAACATATTTTAAATTGTTTTTTGTATTCGTCTCCTTGCCTTTAGAAAGGCTAGTAATTTCCCAATGGATTGATTATATATCATTTAAGATTAGTGCATCGCTTTACTCGGGAAAGGTGAAATAATTTCACGCCGAGTACAGTCAGAGCACAAATATTCACCCGACTTCAACTCTCTTTGCTCCTTTACTTACCTTGTCCCTGCCACACGTGGTGTACTCAGTTCAGGCCAGGGTGTGAATTTAGAACTATCTAGATTAAGGAGAAACGCCCACAAGATTTCTGAGCCAATAGGAATAAACACCAAAAGCTGAATGAGACTGCACTTAGTATCCAACACATGACTTTCTGCTAAAAGGAGCGTATGGAGGAAAAAAAAAAAAAAAAAAAAACCTCAAAACCAAAAACTTGAAGTCCCCACGTAATAAATACGTCTCGTGCCTGCCTGCATGTCCTTACCCGAGTAATGCCATTTTACCAAGTCTCCCTTTCGCGGGAAGGGTGGCGCTGGCACCTAGACTTCCAGGAGGATAAAGCCAAACACAGTAACGGGCCGAGGTCAGAGCTCCAGGCAGGCAGCTCAGGGGTGCAAAGGGGTTGAGGCAAGCTGAGCTGTCTGCTGCAGGGCGGCTGCAGCACCGAGGGTGACGCGTTTAATACGGGACCCGTTTCAGCAGACCTCATGCACCAGGTCCGAGCCTGCTGCTGGAGCTGTCAGCAGTCAAGACAGAAAAAGGTACCTCCGGAAGGTGACTTATCCCACTCTAAACGTCCAAGGCAGGCAGCAACAATCACTCACTGGATGCAGCCACCCTTCTCCCAATGACACAAACTGAAGTCCCGATGAAGAGCTTAGATTATATCCCTACCTTTTGGCTGGTTAGGGTTACATGAGCCGAATTCCACATAAATCCTCCCTGTGCCTCAGTTCCCCCCTGTAAAATAAACAGCATTTCCTTCCCTGACAGGAATGTTACAAAGGTAAACGTGCTAAAATCTGTCATGTGCTCAACCAAAACACCTGCTTGTGAAGGAGGGCCACGAAAGCACTGCATGTAAATGGGAAAAGGGGCTGGGTCCGAAATCTGGCTCCAGGCACAGAAGCAGCATTATCTATATATTCCAGCTGCCCTCAGCTGCATCAGTGCCAACCCTGTCCAGAGAACTGGGTTGCAGGGACAGGAGAATCAGAGCAACGGACTCCCTGGCCATGGCGGCGCGCAATGGAGAAACAACACTGCCTGACTTGACAAGCCTCAGCTGTGTGTTCAGGACAGGCACATCAAGCCAAGCCTTTGCTCGCTCAAGGCTGAGCCATGAATTTATAATCCACTGAAGCACAACAAACAGGGAACCCGGTGACATCATCTTCATCGCTGCTCTCTTTACAACGCAACTTGTCATTTCCAAGGCAACTGGGGCCTGCGTTTGATTAGCGTACCTAAATTGCTACCTGTGCTTTTGTAATAACCAGTATTTTCCGTCAGGACTCGCTCTTACCCTGTTAGAATCAATTCTTGTCCTAGAAGTGTAGATGGGAGGAGGGATGTTGAAGGCTTGAGGAACAAGATATTCTTCAGCATCCATCATATCTTCCAGGTCTTCTTCATCGAGAAGGTTCTGGAAGAACTTGCTGTCATTTGGGCTTGGGAGCTTCATACGATCGTCTCCCTGAGCAGGTTATGTGGAGAGAGGAAAATAGCAAAGAGATGGATTAATTTCCCAACTGGGAGCTTCAGCCTTCTTCATGTCCTAGCAGGCAGGCTGCAGGGACCTCACAGGCTGCTTTGATTGCTCTAAGGCACCACATCCACATCATTTGTTTTTTTTTGTTTTTTCACATCTTTTTTTTTTTTTTTAAAACTAGGAATACGATGACAGAAAGGGAATAACTGCATAAATCAAGCAATGTCATTTTTCGGCATTCTTGTGATTGAGCTTTTATTCTTTCTTCTCCCTTTTTCCCACACAAGCTCTGTTTCTGACCCCAGTTCTGCCACGGCCTGATGTATTCTGTGAAATATCTCAGCTATTTAGGCTCACATAGGGAAAAAAACATGGAAGCTGCTGGGTCTGGGAATTTGCTTTATTTTCATCTGTGTTTTTAGGGACTCGGGGGCTAAATTTCCCTCTCATCCGTAAGGAAGGCTCTGCAGAACGTAACAGCACTGAAAGCGATAAAAATCAACTCGGGTAACAATAAATAACAACACCGATTAATATTTTTATCTAAATAGCACCTACAAGTGACAGCGCAAGGCAGGGCTGCGCTTTGCTCAGTGCCAGAAAACGTCAGAGAAGGCAGGCAATGCCTCAACCACCCAACAGCCTGTAGAAAACGATACTAAACTTAACTGTATGGAGAAAGAACGGCATCCCTCTCCTCCAGAATTATTATGCCACGCGCCAAACATATATATGTATGTAAATACATAAATATATATGTATATAGCACACACACAGAGGCCAGTTTAGAAGTTCAGCAACAAGCTTGTCATTCTTCATTGTATTTGGGGGGATGGGGGAGTCATAGCAGCAGAGACATCAGCGCAGTAGAGTTGGCCTGGTTTCTCTTACAGAAGCGTGTGGCTTATACTGACAACAAGGATCACTGGAGAAGAAGCCTCCCAGGCTGAAATACTCACCAGACTACATAACAGAGAAGAGGAGGGGAGGGAAAGGGAAGAAAAAGAAAGAGGTACTTGGAATGGGGAAAGATGTCGTAGCTAACAAAGTAAGTTAAAAGTGATTCCAGACAAATCAGCCTGGTTGTCAGCTGAACTTATATTTCAAGTTCTACATTCAGCACCACAATACACCGTGTATAGACTAGCATGTCCACACACTGAAGTGGAGCACTGTAAGGTGACAGTAGTGCTAGTACCACAAGCAGTCAGGACACATGAAAGCAGCAGCAACTGTTACTTCCAGAGGCTCTCCAGCTAGGAAGTCTTCTACCAGTGTGAAGCCAAGGACCAGCTGGATTTATCTCCACGTTGTACTCCATGACTCAGGGCAGATGTAGCATAGAAGTATCTTCATCTGGATCAAACTAATACCATGCTTTGGTCTCTGGTTTTTCAACATCACCTTATTTATTTTAGTCTTCTTCCATTTGCGTTTGCAGTGCTCACATACTAGCACCATCTAAGGACCTTAACAAATGGATGGGTTCATTTTTCGTGGCTTGAGTCTCAGTTGCAGCTCCAGAGTTTAAAAGCCTAACTTATTTTTCCCAAAGAAGTCAAGCATTACGGTATCCCATTCTTCGAATGGAAACTTTTTGGGGGAGTGGGGGGAGTTAAGCGAGAAAATTCTCCTGAGTTCTGCTTTTCAGATGGGGGAAAATCTGACGAGGACTGCATTTTGAGAAAGGATGCCAGAAGGGGCATCCCTGAAACTCTAACTTTGAACTCATAGCTTTTTTGGCGATTGTTATCAGTAACAAAATATTAACAGTGAAGCTTTCTGTGCCCACATAAACAACTCCGGGCTATTGCAGAACGTAGGAGTTAAAGAAAAAAAGATGCCTGCGCTCAGGGTGTACGCAGCTTTAGCTAGAGGTAGGCAGTAGATATGGCTATACTAGTATTTCCAGGGTGCCACAGTGATGCTGTGGGTCTATCACAGGGACTGCAAAGCGCTGCAACCTGTACAGAGTCTACAGAGTGCAAGGAGAATATAGGGGGAAAATTCCTGTCTAGCATTAGGGAGGCACCAATGCCACCTGATTCCCTGTCTTCTGAGAAGCTTCTATGTTTCCACTATCTTTCTTATGACTTTGACAGCACAGGGAAGAGTCTCTGCCCTTTGATCAGGCCAAGCAATAGCAGAACCAAGCCAGTCCTCGGTCTAAAGTAGGTCCACTGATGGACAGACCTCGTCCTTAATTTCTGTAGAGGATAAAAATATTCAGCAGCTTGCAAAGCCACGCCATGTATACGTGCTCACAAATACAGGCTGAAGAGGTGAATTTCAGGTGCTTTCTTATTTTTCAAATAATTACACTGGCCATTCTACTTCATTATCGCACAGTACTATAGTCGCTGCGCTTGCTGTGTTTTGTCAAGGTGCTCTTGAACTCAGGAGGAACAGCAGCAGCCCCCTCAACAGCAGGGTCTGGCAGACAGAATTCAATTTTTTCACCAGTATTGCAGAGTTGCTTACCTGAATAACCAGGTATCTTTGAGGGTCTCGAGCCATTCTAGAAAATTCAGCAGCCAGCTCCTTGAATTTAGGCCGACTGTCAGCATCAATCATCCAGCCTGGGGACAGATCAAAGACAAAGAAAACAGTTAATTGTCAAGCAGATAAAGCATGCCATTTGTAAAAATGCACACGTCCTTGACAGTTCTGGCCTAGAGAGAAGATGAAATGAACAGCCCAAGAAAACGGGCAATGAATCTGTGGTACATCTAAAATGGAAAACACCTGGTCTCGGTCAGAGGAGACTGGATGCTGCATACTGCAGGAGTTTCTTCTTAATTTGCTCCGCACTCCTGTTCCTCATCCCCAAAACAGTGACAGTAACAATGCCTTGTAACTTTTCCTGTGTATTGCTTGCTCGTTCAGATACCAACTCTGTCTTCTATTATAGATCGGTCCAACCTTTAATGTAACGAATATCTGATCTCATTATTACTAAGTCACCGCTAAATACAGTTTTAAACTGACCTACTATAGTCTACTGCGGCTCAGATTATGAAGAGCTCTTCAACAGATCTGCAAGATTACTGACCTCCCATCCCAGCTTTCAGATAATTCTGCATTAATGTGGCTGCATCATTAACACAGACCACACACAAAGCATTAGACAGTATTTTAATTATGCCAGGATGCTTCTTTGGTCCTTCATTATCCAAGAAATGTTCATTAGGAACCACAGTTCTCAATCCCCTTTAATGTTTTCTGCAAAACAAGCAAGCAGTGCAAGAGCTCTCCACCAGCAACTGGTTTATCTCAGTGTCAGCTGCTTCTAATGGGAGATTCTATCAGCTGCTTCCCAAAAACATGTTGTTCTTTGCCAGGGAGGCTACATGAAGCAGGCCTTATCTCCTTCACTCCTTTAACTGAAGGAGGGACCAAAGCGGAAGGAACAAAGCCACTAGAGCTTATAAAGAACTTCACACAAATGTTACAGGACTACACATGTTCATCTAGCCATGACTTTCCTTCTTCTGGAATACCCAACCTGCTAGCACCAGCTTTTGCTCGCTGGGGATTGCCTCATACCCATTAGAGCTGCCACCAGCTTAAGGCCCAGTTGGAATAAAATCTGGCAAGGGATGTCAAGGACAACAAGAAGGGGTTCTACAAATACAATCAGTAGCAAAAAGACGACTAGGGAAAACGTGGGCCTGCTGCTGAACGGGGTGGGTGCCATGGTGACGAAGGATACAGAGAAGGCAGAGTTGCTGAATGCCCCCTTTGCTTCTTCACTGCTAAGGCCAGCCCTCAAGCATTTCAGACCCTGGAGACAAGAGAGGAAGGCTGGAGAAAGGAAGACTCTCCCTTGGCTGAGGAGGATCAGGTCAGAGATGATTTGGGCAAACATGACACCCACAAATCCACGGGCCCTGATGGGATGCACCCACGAGTGCTGAGGGAGCTGGCGGATGTTATCGCTAGGCCACTCTCCATCATCTTGGAAGGGTCCTGGAGATCAGGAGCGGTGCCTGAGGACTGGAAGAAAGGCCACGTCACCCCAGTCTTCAAAAAGGACAAGAAAGAGGAGCCAGGAAGAAACTGCAGGCCTGTCAGCCTCTCCTCCGTCACTGGAAAGGTGATGGAACAGCTCATTCTGAAGGTCATCACTAAACATATGGAGGACAAGAAGGTGAGCAGGAGTAGTCAGCACGAATTCACCAAAGGGACATCATGCTTGACCAAGCTGATAGCCTTCTCTGATGGAATGACTGGCTGGGTAGATGAGGGCAGAGCAGTGGATGTTGTCTCCCTGGACTTCAGCAAGGCTTTTGACACTGTCTCCCATCACATCCTCCTAGGTAAGCTCAGGAAGTGTGGGCTGGATGAGTGGACGGCGAGGTGGCTTGAGAACTGGCTGGATGGCCGAGCGCAGAGGGTTGTGGTGAATGGCGCAGAGTCAAGTTGGAGGCCTGTGGCTAGTGGTGTCCCCCAGGGGTCAGTCCTGGGTCCAGTCTTGTTCAATATATTCCTCAATGACCTGGAGGAAGGGACAGAGTGCACCCTCAGCAAGTTTGCTGATGATACTAAACTGGGGGGAGAGGCTAACACACCAGAAGGCTGTGCTGCCATTCAGAGGGACCTGGACAGGCTGGAGAGGTGGGCGGAGAGGAACCTCATGAAGTTCAACAGAGGCAAGTGCAGGGTCCTGCACCTAGGGAGGAAGAACCCCATGCACCAGGACAGGCTGGGGGTTGACCTGCTGGAAAGCAGCTCTGCAGAGAAGGATCTGAGGGTCCTAGTGGACAATCAGTTAACCATGAGGCAGCACTGTGTCCTTGTAGCCAAGAAGGCCCATGGGAGCCTGGGGTGCATTAGGCAGAGTGTTGCCAGCAGGTGGAGGGAGGTGATCCTGCCCCTCTCCTCAGCCCTGGTGAGGCCTCCCCTGGAGTACTGTGTCCAGTTCTGGGCTCCCCAGTACAAGAGAGACATGGCACTCCTGGGGAAGAGTCCAGCGGAGGGCTACCAAGAGGAGTAGAGGGCTGGAGCATCTCTCCTATGAAGAAAGACTGCAAGAGCTGGGCCTGTTCAGCCTGGAGAAGAGAAGATTGAGAGGCGATCTCATCAACGTGTACAAGTATCTGAAGGGGGAGTGTCAAGAGGATGAGGCCAGCCTCTTCTCCGTGGTGCCCAGCAACAGGACAAGAGGCAACGAGCAGAAACTGAACCACAGGAAGGTCCATCTAAACTTGAGAAAAAACTTCTTCACTGTGAGGGTGACAGAGCATTGGAACAGGTTGCCCAGAGAGGGAGTGGAGTCTCCTTTCCTGGAGATGTTCAAAACCCGTCTGGACGCGATCCTGGGCAATATGCTCTAGGTGACCCTGCTTGAGCAGGGGGGTTGGACTAGATGATCTCCAGAGGTCCCTTCCAACCTCAACCATTCTGTGATTCTGCAAATATTTTGGCGTTCAATCAACATAAGGTCCATGATAATCCAAGTGTCCTCCTTCTTCTACTTTCCAGATCTGCCAGAGCACATTAAGACTGCTAACTGTTGTGAGCCTGGTTCTGCAAACATTTATTTGTAAATAATAAATGAGAGGTATACCAGTCTTCTTGCTGAAATCACCAGGACGTGGCTTAAATATTATTTGGCTTCAGTAAGACTCACAGAATTGCCTTTAGTGTAGGAATGCAATCATAAGGAGAACTGATGTATTAAAAACTTCTATTGATTTTTTTCAAGGTAACATTTGAGACAGTTGTATGCCAGCTGTCCTTGTACCAATGTGTAATAACAACCGATAGCTGATGTTGAAAAAGAAATCCTTCTATATATCCCTACCTCAAACGTTGGTAGTAATTCCAGGGGCATTGCAGGTACCAGTTTTGGGGATTCAAATCTTGCCTGCTTCTGCTATGTGCAGCCTGAAGTACCTTCAGCCACGTTGAAAACTCCTCCGCAGCGCCCTGCCTAAGCGCCTGACAGAGTCATGATATCCCCCTAATCTCTGAAGTATCCTTTGGGATATGGGCAGTTCTCTATTGTCTCAAATTTCTACATGCATCCAAAACTGAACAACCTAGTATTACTCACGTGGTGTTCAAACTTTCCACTACTAAGCAGTGCAGTCCTCAATATGTCAACAGAGGGTTGGGGGGAGAAGGAGAGATGAAGTTACGTATATTCCAAAGACAAACTCCTGGGCTGGATAAGGTGTTCACACTACGAGCTTCATGAACTACAAGCAACTCTGAGCAGAATTTTACGGAGAAGATATGTATTTACCTTCTCCAGTTTTATCTTCTTTCTTCCAGTGTTTTTGTGTACAAAGCAAAAGGGAAAGGCCAGTATCAGACAGATGAGATGGCTGTGTGTTAATCTCACCTAAATTAAGTCAGAAACACCAGAGAAATGTTCCTAATTCTTTTTAAATTAGAAGCCTAGCCTTGGAGGATAGTCACTAGTGTGGGTATCTTGTAGGTAAAAGGGTAAGAAAAAACCACGAACAAACTGTTTTCAATGGTAGGAAGAAACCACGAGCCAACTGTTTTCCTTCTTTGCTTAAGGTAAAAATATCCGTAAGTTATTGCACTGGACTAAGAACGACCAAAAAAAAAAAAAAATCCTCCTCTCTGTAGAGTTTCTTATCTTAATGTAATGTTGCTTTTTGTTATTACTATTGGAATTATCAATACTGCTATTAACAATAAAACATTTATGCTTCCTTTCCTCAATATCTGGAGCCAGCATTTCCCCTTACAACCTTCACTGGCTGACTATCCATATACCATAATTATGTTTAATACTATCTTTTTTAACATCAAAATCAATTGTCATGGAAATGACAAGGGCTTACAATAACAATCACGTAATTTTGACTTCACAGCAAGAATGTGAGATAGCATCTGACAGTAATAAGAAGCTGAGCTAACTCAACCCTTCATGACTAAATTCATATCTTTTGCAATTGCAAAACATGCGCATGCAGTGTTTAAATGCAATTTACAGAATCTTAGGAAGCTTTTCTTTTGAAATAGTACGCACTATTACCTGGGACTGTCAGAGACTGTAGACATAAATGTTCTAAAATAGTATTCATTTTGCAATGAGCACAGAGATATTAAAAGCTGCAGTTACTTACATTTCACCATCACCATATAAACATCAATAGTGCAGATCGGAGGCTGGGGCAACCGCTCGCCCTTCTCTAAGAGGTCAGGGATCTCACGAGTCGGGATTCCATCGTATGGCTTTCCACCAAAGGTCATCAGCTCCCAGATAGTGACTCCTAAACAACAACGACAAAAAATCTGCTAAGACTTAAGGTCATACTTCTCAGAATCCTTAGCCATTTCTTACAGGTCCATATTGTGGCTCAGCTCTGGATCAATATGCGATGGCCAATCTCTTCTTCACTGCCTTTAAGACGACTTAAGTTTGGTCTGTCACATAAAGAGCTCTGGACAACGGTTAAACTGTGCTAGAGTGTTAATCTCTAGATGCAATTTCCTTGTTTTTATTGGCCTAAGAGGAACCGTGAGAGATCTGAGACACGAGAGAAAGCTCTAAGACAAATAAACGGTGGGCAAGTAAATGGATGCAACAACAGAAGAATATATCTTGCTCCTTTACCATATCAAAGGGGGAAATGAATGGCTGATGAACACTATTATTTTAAAGGGAAAAAACACAGATGTTCCCTAACTGAGAGCATCAATTTCCCACAAAGGTACCAAGCTGAATAATGTTATGTCATTGTCTTTGCCTTGTAAGTCATTCACACAGCCCCTTGTTATTATATTTTTCCTTCAATCGCCTTATGGATTTGAGTTATGATAGTGCTGTGCTTCAAAACCAAGCTCCTCTTCTTGAACAGCCGTAGGATTTGTTTTGTCAGTTGAGCAGGAAAATAAAGACCTTATATCTTAAGTAACAGAATCTATCCCCAAACACAATCTTAAATATTGAAAATGCTGCTTTCACAACAGTTTGCTCCGCTTTCCTTTTATTTTTATTGCAAAGGTCATTTAAAACATGCCTCCAGATCACTAACTATATTATGCCAACTGTCATGCTAATCTGAAAAGTGATGGGTAAAAATACCATATGCATAAAACACATTTAGTTCACCGTCATTCACCTCCTGGCTGATGTTCAGTAACTGTAACTTGTCAGTCGTTTTTGGTTTTGTTCCTCCAGATTACAGATATTATGGGCTTCCTGCTTTTAAAATGAATTTCATAAATGGAGGCATATTTTTTCCTAAGTGCAGTGATACAGAATTTGAGGAGAAAGAGCAGGTTTACATCATCAATTTAATTACCATATATTTTTCTTAGCTAGACAGAAGAGGGCAAGCTACCCAGCCACAGCAAACAGCATCTTTTGCTGCTACCCACAGGTAGAAGAGAGTAGTGAACAGAATTGTACACCTTTTTGTTTCAAAATTACAGGATACAGGAAATGCAAATGGAGATCTGTAACCCTAGATACTGCTGGAAAGTTCCACTCAAAGGCACAATGATTTTATTAGTAATAGCTGTACTAGAAGAACACGCAGACAGCTCAGCAGATGTGGCACAGTAGCTCGTCCGGGTAAGAGAATCAACAACATTAAACACACACCTCATTTATCAAACGTTATTTTTTGTGTGCGGAGTCCTCATGAACCGACCTGTCTAACCAATTCCTATGTCATCTGTGAAATGAAACCCATGCCTGTTTTGGGTAGCTTGGGGCTCATCTCTCTCCTCCTCCTTTCTCCCACTGTATTTGCTCCGTGTTAGGACAAATTCCCTTTTATCTCACTGTAGGTACCGAAAGTCCCATAAGCCTGAAAGTGTTGACGCTCAGGCCTTTTAGAGTTAAGATTTTCAAAGGACTGCTGAAAATTAGGACCCGCAGACATATTTTTAATGAATCTGTGGCTAAGCGGAAAGGGGTCGTTTTCAGTCATCACAATCAGCCAAACTGCTACCAAAACCAGACCTTACGGCAGTCATCCCGGCAGGGACATTGCGATAAAGTATTTCGGTGAGCAGTAAAGTAACACAGGAGACAAGTAACAACTGCTGTTTAGAGATACGCATTCAAAAAAAGGGGGGGGAGGAGGAGGAAGGAAAAACACTGGAATTAACTCCTCTAGGAAAAGAAGAAATCTGTTAAAAAACAAACAAACAACAAAAAAAACAACCCAGAACTTGGTTTAATGCATTACATGAGACAAATTTTCAAACAAGTCACGTGAAGATTTACCATAGCTCCAAACATCACTCTGATGGGTAAATTTCCTGTAGTGTATACACTCC